ACTAGGGTTGGGGATTTAGCTCAGCGGTTCGGTGGCCTGCCTTGCAAGCACAAGGACCCAAGTTCAATCCAGGGTAACAAAAAAAAAAAAAAAAAAGTACAAATAAGTATGTGATTGAAATACAAAGAGAGAACAAGCATTTTCTTCATGTAGTGAAGAGTTTATGAATTCTTATTTGTTTCAGCCAATGATAGTCTTACTAATTCCAAATAGGCCTATTACTTATTACAGTTTAAAATTTTAAGCCAAAAATCAAAATAAAACACTAAGCCATGCCAACATTATAACAGAAAAATTTATAATTAATTCCTACTGCTATGTGACCAAAAGCATAAAAGGAAACATTTACCTTTTAATGTGCAAGACTGGGGCAGGTCCTAAGAGCATGAAGCACACTGCTGTGATTAAGTTGCCAAAAACCAAAAGCCACTTCCTCAGGCGCTAGTAAAGAGAAAAGGTCCAAAGACACTCTCAGAGGTGAGAAGCCTCCTTGATCGAACAACATAAAAAGCCATTAAAGCATACAAGTCACGATATCCAAAGTCAAAATACATTCAAGAAAGTGAAATTCTCCATTTACGAGGAAATGAGCGGATAATGAGCTCAAAGGCAAGGACACAGGCAGAGAGTGAGCGAGGGCCCAGGACTCCTTAGGAAGGAAATGCACTGCACACAATTGTACACCATGAACTACTTCGAGCACCAACAACTTGAAAAGCAGTCACATAAGGAACTTACAAAGCAGTTACAATAGCTAGAAAAATCAAATTCTGAAAAAGCTCTGGGTGCCTACGCCTCCCCGCCACGGATGTGTTAAACCCTAACCAGAGAAACCAGTGAGATGGTGCTGGGGGGCGGGGCTGTGGGGTGTAATTTGGTCACGAAGGGGGGGCCCTCGCCAGTGGGAGGCCCCAGCCAGGGAGCCTCCTTGCCCCTTCTTCCATGTTGTTACAGGGAAAGGGCCACCTTCTATAAATCGGGAAATGAGCCAGGTGGGGTGGTGCGCATCTGTGATCCCAGCACTCAGGAGGCTGAGGCAAGTAGACAGCAGCAAGTTCGAGGCCAGTCTGAGCTACCTAGTGAGACAATGTCTCAAAAAAACCAAACTAATAACAATAATAAAATAATAATAATAATAATCAATCAGGAAATTAGCCTTTACCAGAAAACAAATCACTAGTGCCTGATCTCGGACCTCCAAGGCTTTAGAACTGTGACCAATGATTTTCTGTTCTTGTTGATGATCTTTTGTTATGGAAGTTTGAGCGGCCTGAGATAATATTCAATAAAATTATACCTTATAAACTATGTCAGGCAAAAAGTTATAGGACTGTGTCTTAAAACCCCAGCTCAAATGCTGTTCAAGCCACTAACTTTTTGTCACTTGAGGTAGTAGGTGATCCCACATACAGGACAATGTCTTGATAAATATGAGTCTGTCTGATGGAAAGGGGAAAATGCAATAAGCATGCTGCAAGTGAAGCCCCAGAAATCTGAGATTTGGATAACACCACTAGTTCTGTAGATCAGTTAGCTACACTGAAAGGACTTTATCTCACTGAAGGGGTTTTCTGATAACATGGGGATGGAACCAAGCACATTTACCTCACCAGTCTTCCCATGCTCCAGGACAAGCCGTCTCCTCCCAGAGCCAAATCTCTCACTTGACATGGCCCCATAATAACCTCTACAATTTGACCCAAGTATTAAGTTCAGTCCATTTTAGCTTTCATCAAGGAAGACTTTTCCTTTAGAAAGTCTAATCCAATAGTGTTCAACAGTTTTAGCATAACACTCTTTGGATCTCCTAAAAAGCAGTTAAAGCAGTTAAAAGTGACCCTGCTCGCGGTGATGGCTGAGCTTGGACTCTCTCCTTCAGTCAAATGGTCTTTGTCAATTAAAACCAACCAACCTCGAGTGTAGTACAGAAATGGTTGGAAGATCGCTGATCTAAATATGTAAAAGGAAAAATGAGGTGTACTTACCGGCATTTTGTCACTTAGCAGGCCAAACAGCGGTGAGGAAATGGCATAGGGCAGTGCCAATCCCAGGAAGACCAGGCCCACGTAGCCAGCTGGTAAATTAAACTGGAAAAGAATTTCTACATTGAGCTCACAGAGTTAAGTCATTTTTCAAAATGACTTTAGCTTTCTGTAGCTTTTATTACTATGGTGAGTCTACTACTAACACTCAGCATTTGTTGGTAATATACAGCACACCTTAGTCCTTTTCACTTCCCGCTTCCCTCTCCTCCTTCCCCTCTCCCTCCCTGGATTACCTTCCCACATGCAAAAGGTTACTTCCTGTTTCCTGTCTTCTTTAATTTTGTTCTTTGTATTATTTATCCTTTGGGTTTCTCAGGTAGGAAAAACCATTATATTCTTTTTTCAAAAATACCTATGAGCAAAATCTATGATATCAAACCTTTGGAATTTGACATTCACTTTTCAGCACTAGGAGAGATTCTCCGACTCTTTCTCCCACCCCAGATTACCATAGTCCACAGTCACCTGACTGGATCAAACAAAAAACAAAAAAGTAAAAATGGACCGAGAGGGGATCCTATGGGACAAGATGCGCAGCTCACAGTAACTAGGACAATGACAGCACCTAACCCGGCTGGACGTCTAACAAGTGGGGGAAACCTGTCCTTGTTAGATGGCATGAATGATGCCCAAGGCTGCAGACCTGAGCAGGGTCTTGGAAAGAAGGGTACCAATGTGTTGGCCACTAGTAAAAGGATTCTTTCTTTCTTAATGAAGCAGATCCTCAATTCACCGACTCCTGTCTGCAGTGGTTACGGAGGAGTTCCAACCCGACTGATTTTGGGAGCCGTCCGGGCGATGGGCGGAGTGCACTCCTAGGTGTGTCTGGGGGCCGAGGAAGCGTGGTCTTGGGGTCTACGTCTGCTCCTTCCTCCCTTTATCTCTGCACTGCTCCCTGCTCAGTTTCCCAGCCACCATGACCCAGCATCTCTGCTCCACCACACACTTCCACTGTCTCCGCCTTGGAGCCAGCTGACCATGGACAGAAACCATGAGCAAAATTAAACCTCTCCTCTTTGAAGTCGTAGGGGTTGGGCATCGTGTCTCGGGTACAAAAAACTACTAGGAAAATGTCCCTAGCTCACAGGGACATCACAGAGGGCAGGCGCAGGCACCTTGGGGTGCAGGTCCCGGTTCACTTCCTGCGCCCAGTCATTCACAGGACTTTCTCTGAGGAAGGGCCCCAAAGCAGCAATTGTGCCCATTTGCTCCAAAGCACAGCTCCATAATGGGGCCACTTACCTTGCCCAAGACAAAAAGAGACAGAATAGGGTCAAGGAAGCCAAAGCAGGAGCTCACAGAGATGAGGATGAAGGCTATAAGGCCGACCTTGGGCAGGGTGGCAAGTTTCCAGAATGAGTGTTCACTTGGCTCAGACTCTTTGGGGGTAAACATGAAAGAGAGAGAGAGAGAGAGAGAGAGAGAGAGAGAAATGATAGCAACTGACATGTTTTCCACTTTATCTTTTAACTTACTTTGTAAAGTAACACTGGTGACATCAACTCGATCCAAAAATAAAATGTAACTTCACCTCTGAGCTTGCGCGCAAGTATATACGATTTACACTTGCACGTAAGTTATTTGAATCCAGAAGCCATATTCAATTTCAATTTAAAAATTCACAAATCCAAAAGGAACCAACAAGAATGTGAGTGGGAGATGGGACCCAGGATAGACAAAGTTTGACTCGGCACAGGGAAAAGCATTGCCAGTGCTTTACTAAGGAATAACCTGTGAGCACGTGCTTGGGGAGGAAGTTACCTCGATTGGTTTAAAAAGAAATAATGTTCTGTGTGTTGGCAAAGCAGACACTGGATTGAAAAGGGCGCTACGGATCCTATGTAAATCAGTTTTAGCCTTCAAGTCGAGGGAGTTCTAACTCACCTCCCGTCATCCTCCCAACAGGAATGGCTTCACTGTTCCAACCATCAGATGTCGCCTTCTCCAGGCCTCCGGCCACACTGCAGGACCCCTTTCTTGTTTGCCTGCCGACTCTTCGAATTCTACTCACTCTATAAGGTCTGGCTCTGGCCCTAATTGCCAGCTTTTCCCACAATTGCAGCTTTTTCCTCTTTCCCACTGTACTTGGAATCTATGCTCCATAATAAAAAATTAAACGCTAAAATTACATTTCCCTTTATACTGTTCAGTATTGTTTGGTGGCTTTTTGTCTTCCATTTAATTTGTTGAACAATATCTTGGCTGAGCCACACACTAGACAAAACACTGTACATACAAAATTTAAAAAAGGAAAAACGAGACAGCTCCAAAAGTGTCCTTGCAGAGAAGTCACAACATGGAGTGCAGACAGCTAGGCCAGGGCCAGGTTATTATAGAGGAACAGGAGACCTCTGCCTTAAAGCCCAGGGAGGGGACGTGAAAAAGATTCTCCAAGCCCTGACACTGGAGCTGGACCCTAAAATCCCCCATGACGAACGTCACCATATTGTACACCTGGAGTGTACCAAGGAGCTTAGTGAATAAAAACTTTAAAAAAAGAAGTGATGGGGAACGATTGCGTGGAGCAAATGAGAGAAGAGAAGGAAACTGGGAAGACGAGTTTGGGGTGGGAGAACCGAGACGTGGGAGAGCTCACAGTGAGGAGCCGGCGATGTGACTGACAGCTTGCCTGGGGCGCAGGACCCAGGAGGGATCCGAGCAGGGGAGGACGGAAACAGCGGGTGCTCGGTGGCCCATGGCAGTGGCCAGAGAGGCTGCGTTACAGCGACTCTGTCCAGAGAGGGTAAAGGAGTCCACCCGAGAAGGGCCGGCCTTACACAGCCTCGTCACCGCCTCAGCGCCCAGCGCAGTTTATCGTTCTACGCTTATTAAATAATCATTAAGGGTGGGGCAAAGCACTGAAAAGCCATTGGAAGCAATGCACTTAAGACGTTTTTAGGATACAACAATAAAAGTAAACCTCGGTCTTAGTTTCCTACTTGTCAGCCAAGTGTGCTACACAAAATTGAATCACTCTCACCACGGCTGAAATTCACAAACAGCAGCTTGCTGTTCAACTTTGGGGGACGAGAGCACCACCGTGTGGCTCAATGAGGTACTGCCATCAGGGAGACCACTGGATGTGACTATTGAATCGTATACTAAGGACATTAATTAGTCAACTTTAAAATGTAAATTAGGAAAGATTCCAATTTCAAGTGACTCTACTGATTGCGCATATCAATAAGACTATATTCTGAGTGTTGCAGAGGCCATTACTACATAAATGATACCCTTTAAAAAACATTTACAAATATCTAGGAATACATTATTTAGCCAAGCCACTGAAGACCAAATAATAAAAATGAGGATGGCACCTGCCTCAAGGGATACCTAGCAAAACCACCTCGGGAGTGTTTCAAGGCTATTTGGGAAACCAATGATTTCCTGCAAATTTTGATTTGTTCCTCTTGTAGGAACACAGTGCCTTCTTTGGTAACACTTGCTCTGAAAGCGCATGTCCAAGATGGGACTTGGTGTGGTCTTCAGGAGTTACTGAGGGGAAAGAAAGCTGGGCACTGTGACACTGCTTGCTTAACGTCTCTTCTAATGATCAAGAATCACTGGGAGAATTTCCCAGGAGAGGTAACACAAGTGTGGTCTTGCAGAACGCGTGGGCTTAGGGAACATTGGGCAGACAGATTTCCCTACTACTTGAATCTAAAAACAGCTCCTAATGGCCCTCAGGATAAAGTCCACATGTTGTAGACTTAAAATTGGCGGGGGGGTACCAGGGATCAAACCTTGAGCTTTCGAGGCAGACAGCAGAACCACTGAGCTAAATCCCTGGCCTATGTCATAGATTTAAAGATTCATTTTTAACTCGACACTTAAAAACTATATATGTACAGTGTCCAACATGTTTTGATATATGTATACCTTGTGGTACTCGGTACAAGTCGTTAATAACATAGGTGATAAAATACATCCGTAGCATTTTTTTGTGGACAGCACATTTAAATTGACTTTTTAAACATTTTTAAGTGAATTACACACATACACACACACACACCCCAATCTGTAGCTTTGCAGAGATTTTTATGTCCCTGAGATGAATTCTGGTCTGAAAATACTAAACGGAAAATTCCAGAAATAAGTTTTAAGTAACTTTTATTATAGTACAATGACACTTGCCCCATTTAATTATGTTATTTGTCTTAATCATTTACTGAGCCTAATTTATAAATTAAACCTTACCGTGCGTGTATACAGGGAAAAACACAGTATATATCCACTGAGTTGGCATCCAGGGAGTTTGTGACACGTGCCCCACAGAAGCGGGGACCAAGAGCTACAGTCTCAGAGTGGGGCACAGGGACGGTGGGGAGGAGTGTGGGCCAGGCCTCCAGGAGGAAAGGGGCGGAGGTCGGTCTGCACCTAATCAGCACAGCCTAAGTATGTTCAACTAGGAACCAAAGGTCACAACGCTTGGAAAGGCAAGCGCCCCCGTGTGGCGCGTGGGGTATTACCTCAGGCTCTGCTCCCAGCTCTGGTTACTTCTGCTGTTCTGCAAAGCTGATAACTGGACAGGTGTTAAGTCACGCGCTACACTCCCGAACAAACCATTTGTAACAACAGTAAGACTGGGGAGGGGGAGAATGTCATCAGGACAGAAGGAACTACAAATAAGCCTTGGGGACCTGACCCCCTACTTGCTGCCTGGTGAGCGTGCTGACCGTTGTCGTCAGCAAGTCCCTCATGCACCAGCTGGCAGCAGTGTCCACGCGTTTGTCACGGGGCAGGCGGGCTCCTGAGGCGCGAAGCTTTGCAACTAGGGTGATTCCCGTTTCTGCCTGACGTGGGCGGGCGGGCTGTGCTGCACAGACAGCTGGCGACACAGACCCACTGCGGCGAGCACGGCCCTGCCTCCTACAGCCTCCGAGGGTCACGGAGCCACTCTGAGCTCAGGCCCGTAAGAACATCAGGGCACTGTGTACAGTGACAGTTTGGGAGCACAGATTACACATGTGCTAGTGGTAAATGTCAGAAAGGATTTGCTGTACGCAGAAATCCCCACTTCAAATCTAATCAACACTTAAGAAAACTGATTCTTTTGAGGTGCTTTTAAGAGCCACTATTTACTGAAATAAAAGTGAATATCTGGTCAAATATTTTCTTACAAAGGTAGAGAAATAAATTTAAAATTCCTAAACCGAGAAGCAAGCATGGACTTACCATAACTGGGCAAGATGTAGATGTTGAGTGGTATCACCAGCAGAACTACACACCCCAGAGAAATAAAAGGCACCTCATAGCCAAAGGACTGATACAAGAAGCCACCCAGAGGAGGACCAACCACAAGCCCCAGTCCAGAGAAGACCTCAAGACTTCCCTACAAGTGGAAAAACAAAAGAGACTTGAGTTGATACATTTCTTGAGGAATTAACAGGGCAGCATTTGGAAAATTCTGTCTGCTTCATGATTCACACACGCACGCACACACGCACGCACGCGGAGCGCCGCACAAATAATTGAAGTCTAAGTCCACATACGTAGACTGTAAAAGTACTAGAAAAAGATGCCAAGCAGTGACTCATGCCTGAAATCCCAGCACTGTGGATGGCTGAGACAAGTTCTGGCTCAGCCTGGACAATTTAGGGACTTACGACAGACAGGGAAGGGGAGGGGGAGAGAAACAGAGAGACAGAGAGAAAGGGCTGGGAATGTAGTTCAGTGTGAAAGTCCTGGGTTCAAACTGCATTATTGGAAAAAGTAGCAGAAAATTCAATACAATATGGGAGCTTTCTAATTCTTGCGGGATTTTGTTGTTGTTGTTGTTGTTGTTTCTTATTTTTTTGTTTTGAGACAAGGACTTAGCATGTTACTTACACTGGCCTCAGACTCATAATCCTCTCTCCCGAGTAGCCGGGATTACAAGTGAATGTCACCACGCCTGGCCTCTTTTTCAATTCTTACAATGGAGAGATTTTTCTAATTATAATATAAAACTCAGAAGATATATATGAAAATATTTTACAAACGGCTTGGAAAAACACACGCGGGGACAAATGAAGAATAGGAAACAATACTGACAAAGAACTAATTTCCCAAAGATATCCAGAGAGATGCACCACATCGATGAGAAAAACAGTGAGAACCCAATAAGAAAACATGTGAGGGCCATGAACTGTTGACATATAAAATGAAATACAAGCAGCTCTTCGAAGAAGCAGATCACTTTCATTCTTTAAAAGAAATCAATAAATTTCGACCTCAGCAAAGCCATTCTCACCAATCACTTATCTAAACTGTCTTCTGCCAGGTTATCAGCAGAGGCGATCTGGGTACTGCTGGTTGAATGACTCACCCACATTAAAACACCCCTACTCTCAGACCCCAAATCCTGCTATCAGGAATGTAAGTTACAGGAGTAGCCATTGGGAAGTGACTTGGGGTATATTCAAGCTTATTTGCTGTAGCACTGTTCACAATGATGAATGATGCAAACCATCTACATATCGATCAAGAATTGAAATATACTAGGTTGCATCCATACAGTAAAATAAATAAGATTTCGAAAGTGTTCTTATTAACGTAAGTACAGTAATATTGATCTCCACTATTTCTCCCTTGTTAATGTAATCATCAAGGTGGTAAATGACTGGAATGGGTGGTACCATTTGTGGTAAGAAAAAAAACAGGAGAGGAAACATGCTATCTGCAAGTGTGTCTGTGTGTGCATACATGTGTGTGTTCTCGTGTACAGATGTGGAATCTCTCTAGAATAAACCTGCAATTCCTGGATTTCCCATACAGGGCAGAGGACTGGGGACCTGACACCAGGCTTCATAAAGCTGAGCAACACTCATATGTCAAATATATTTATTATACCCTCTATTACCTTCTGTATTTTTAAATTTTGTCCCTTATAAAATTGTTTTGTGAACTAAAGTTAAAATAAGCAAAACAATACCATGGAAAAAGGAGTTTACTATGAAAGAAGTTGTAGCATTTTAAACAAATCTAGATCTTAGCAGCTTGGAACAAACAGACACCTGTGGCTTGGAACTTCAATTCTTAGGCCTCACAGAGTGCTCTAAAGTACTCCATTAGTAAATTCCAAAAGGGCTGGGGATTCAGCTCAGTGGTTCTGCTGCCTGCCTCTCAAGCACGAGGTCCCGAGTTTGATCCCCAGTACCAAAAAATTACCAAATAAATTCCCAACTCTCACAAAAGATATAGGAATTCTAGCTTTAATCTCAGCAAGGCCATTCCAATGAACTAACACATTTGCAGTGTGAGCTTCCGGCTATGATTTTTCTATAGGAAGCCAATATGGCAACATTAGTCCTCGTTGTGGTCAGAAAACCCAATGGTCTCTTGCCACATCCCAAGGTTTTCCTGGGCAGCGCTTCCCTGAGGCTCTTAAAACACCAGCTCCTCCAGAGGTCTTGCTGACAAAGCGGGTTCATGCTTAATCTGAGCTGTGGGACACTTCATAAGCTCTCTGTACTTCAGGGTGTCTCAGCACCTTCAAATACCAATGCTTCGAGATTGCTTGGCCACAAAGCCTTGTTTTACAGAGCCAGTGTCCTGCTGAACCCCTTCTGAGAAACACTTCAGGGAACTGTGAGTGGTATGACTGACACCATGGCTACCAAAGAGCGTCAAATGGCCACACAACCTGAAATGAACCTATCCGGCAAGACGCACAGGTGCTGAAGTAAAAAACACTACTCGCACAGAAAATAACTCACGTAATGGTAAAACATTTTGAGTACAACAACAAATGAGTAAATGAGGGAGTCCTTGGTGTGAAGATGATCAGACTGAAGTCTGGGAAACAACCACGCACTATGAAGGTGGCGTTTGATCTGATATGCAGGCCAGAACTGAGACAGAAATTGGATGTGTCACCACCACCAGGTCTACGTGCATCAGGGAAATATACAAGAAAGCACACTGGTACAGTGCCACCCAGTCCTGGCTTTTTAATATCAAAACAAGAGTGTGCTCCTCAGATAACAAAGAAGCACATAAGACGTCAAGGCATCCCTAAGACCTCTTCCAGGCACCTGCGGAGACCGGAGGAAGTACTCTAGCATAACTTAGGTATGTACCACCAGGGATAATTCTTCTAAAGCAGCAGAATGCTTCAGGCAGCTCAGCCACCATCTAGACTAGCGGGAGACAACACAATGCTATTCAGGAGACTTTAATTACAGTGCTAAAAGCGAGAGCTGGTTAGACCATATTTACCCGTCAAACTGCCCATTCAGGGAACTCCCCGACCAGGAGCAGCCACAAAAGTGCCACAAATGGTGCACTTTTTTTGGACAGCTTTCTTGTTAGAAGTAGAAATCAGAGTAAAAGTTAACAAAGACACAATATTAAGAGAAAAGCAGGTATAGAAGAATGTGCCCCAAGCTTTATCTTAGAAACTCAAAAAATATTTCTTCATATGTGCAAAAGAAAATATGAATCCGTGGACTACATACCAATACCGTCGCCACATTATTTGGAAAAGCCTTTGTGAGGATCGAAGATGATGCAGTTATTGCTGCTCCAAAGCCTATTGCATCTATTACCCTCACTAGAAAAGACATAGCAATGAATATGGGTCCATCTGGAAGTTGGTCCATGACACTAAAAAGAAATAAGGCAATTCTTCAATGCCAAGCTTTATTTTTTTTCCATTTCACGGTTGAAAAGAGAAGTACATCACCCACAGTTATTATCACACATCTTTGTAGAATATGAACTCTTTAAAGAATTGACTTGTTACACTTTCAGCAAAGAATTACCTTTTTTTGGTTACAATTTGATTCATAATGGCAGTTTAGTGGCATTATAAGCTGAGATAACTGATCCCCTGGATGACAATACTACCTAGGCCCCTTCTTCCATCATAATTGTCCTTCTGTTTCCTTAGAGATTGGCTTCAAGAGCATCATCAGGTACCAAGATGCAAAGATGGGGCAGTCTCAATAAAAGGCATACTGTTTGCATATGAACTACACTTATCTTTTGGTATGCTTTAAGTCATCCATACTGTTGGGTTTTTCTTTTCTTCCCTTTTTTGCTAATTTTGTTTTTTGGCAGTTCTGGGGTTGATCCAGGGTCTCACGCACAGCCAACAAGTGCTCTTCCCCTGAGCTACACTCCCGGGGTTAAATCATCTTTAGGTTACTTGTACTACCTAATGCAGTGGAAATGATATGTAAACAGTGGCATACTCTCGTATGTAGACAATGACAAAGAAAAAGTATACTTTTTTTAGTACAGACCCATTTTTATTTCATATATTTTCAATCTGTATTTGGGTAAATTCACAGATGTGGAACCCACAGTCACAGAGGACTGTGAAGAATCACTATCATAAGACTTATTAGAAGAAAATACTTCAAACTCTCAAATTTCTCCCATTTCTCAAACCTTCAAAAAAAGAAAGAATGTGGAAAGTAGAAGAGTCCCCACAAAAATGAAAAAGAAAAGCAACCTCATTTAACATAATAACTATCTAGAGTTTATTTCATCTTACATGTTTGTGGGCTTGTTTGTTTTAAGACAGAGTCTTTCTATAAAGTCCACTCTAGACTTGAAGTTGCTATGTAGACCAGTCTGGTCTTGAACTTAGCGTCCCCCTGCCTCAGCTTCTTGCACACTGGGATTATAGGCCTATGCTACCATATCTCATCATATTCTTATCATTTCTGTATTTTCTCCAAGTTTGCACATGAGCTCTTTAAAATCATTTTCCACTATGTTTTGCTGGTTTAAAGACTCTAAGCTTAAGAACCTGCAGGTTTGTTTTATCTCTGGTATTCATTTTCCCAGAAATAGCAATGGTAGTGGGGACATCACTCTGCTTCATCAGCAAAGCTCAGGCTGAGGGCTCCACTCCATTGGTCTATCAGGGGCTCTTAGGAAAGTGGCACTATTTCCCTTGTGGAGCTGGGAGGGCCATCTTGCCACCAAAAGGAGAAAGCTTTCCCAAGAGCAATGTACAATGGAGAACAATAGGCCAGAAGCTGAGAAAGACTTCTGACTACCTTGTTTCCACATCTGCATCTGAATATTTTTGAACTGATTTTTTTTTTTTTTTAGTGGAAAAGTTCACTTTTTTACTTACAACAGAAAATTTGAATGATTGAAAAAAAATC